CGAGGAGCTTTCTTCATGGTCTCTCGTGTGATATGCTCATTTGATCGAATATAGCGCCATATCGTCATTTTGAGACCGGTAGATTCACTGCAGCATGGATCTGTCTCACAGAAAGGGGGAGTTTGAGGCGACCCGCGCTATTCTTCTGATGTCTTTTGCGGACAAAGATCGAGGACGCCCCGAAATATGTGCTGAATGGTAGCCATCAGGATTCTGGAGGTATTTACCAACGCACGTCGCCGAACGTCCGAGCTGTCTTGCAATTTCTCTAGTCGAGCGTCCAGCAGCACTGAGAGCTCCAATCTGAGATTGTTCGCCTTCGGAGAGAGTACTGCCACGACGAGGCATGAGTACAGGTTAAAGGGGAGCAAAGACGATAGATATGGGTTGCAGATTTGGAGCCAAACTTTGAACTTTCTCAGGTGTCCACATACTTTTGTTATTAAGAAATTTTTTCAAAACAATAAATAATTGTACGTTAGTTCACAATGTATTCAGAAGTAGTGCATTCCTATACTTTCGCTTATGAGGAATCTAACAGTGATGGTCTCAGATCGCAAAATCCAAAGGCAACTTCGCAAAATCAAAATTTGAGGTGTCCACATACTTTTGTTACGCACTGTATGTTCACAGATATGGGACCTCTGCACATCTCGGCCCAGATGAGTGAGGCAAATTCTACGGGTGGCTGACGATCATGACCATCGCAAAGTATTTGTCGACCTGTGAATATGGAACAACTTCTAGGATTGCGGATTTCGTCTTCAGGGCATAGATAAAGGTGGAAAACCTACAAATCAAATAGTTCCATAATGGAAGCTAAACAGATTAGAATTCCATTGGTAACCGATACCTCTTGAGCATGTTGCGCGCATCTATTTCAGCTCACAGTTTTGGCGGCTTATTGAATGCGAAATGGCTTCCACAACGACTACGGCTGGCCATAAAAGTGTGCGTTCTTGGTTTCCAGACATGCCTGGTACCAAACGCGATTTGACTTACAGACTGCGCGCCTACTAAGATAAGCGGGCCTACTTGTTCGTCTGCCTCCCACTTAGTAATAGTTCGGTGGCGATGACCGTAGGTGGCCAAGTGAGTGGTCGCTTCTTGTGAGATGAGCTAAACATGGACACTCGAACACAGGTAGCAGACTCCGTGATGAGCCGGCCTACGAATACCCCATGTCGCACCCGACAAATGTGCTAAATGTTACGGCTTCGTTTAAGCTGACGCGCATTCGCAAACCCGGTGAGTGTGAAAAGTATGCGAGGGTCCTCGATGCGAGGACGGCATCTGGGACAACCAAACTACTTGAAGGCAGTTGGCACGATAAATCCTCCAAGACGAGCAGGACTAATACGCCTGGCAGGACGGAATTCCGCGACCCTGAGCAGGCGCTGCATAATGCCTTTTCCAAGGAAGGTGCCCTTATAAGGGCCCTATCAAGCCACAACTTTACGTCCCAAACGCCCCCAGCCCGCCCGCCCACAAATGGACGACTGTTCCTGACGCTCTAATCGATTCATTTGCTAAGCAAATTATGAAGCGAAGGGATTGGTATGAAGCTGCATGGATATATGAGTACACATATGCAGCCGTACTTCGGTAGCGGTTATTGGCAAGATGCCTACGGGAAACTCGTCCAAAATTGATTTACAAGTCACTGAGAACGGAGGCTTTTTCTTCGCAGGATTTTGACCGTTTCACTCCGTTCTTTCGCCATTTCCCACTATAGCGCCCTGCTAGCATTTTAGGCCAAGTAATAAGTTATCGTGCCAACTGCCTTTAATCCAAAAATCTTGCAGTGCTTAGAAGGTCCGCGCTGCAACGCTCGTTGACGGAGCGCTCATATGAGCTGGCATAAGCGCTAGCGCACAAGAATCGATCTCTGCCAGTGCCGGTGACGAGATGGGTCTGTTGCAAGGTGAAAGAAATAGGCCGCGGCTTTAAAGCCGTACTCTGTGATGGGCCGAAGACTAAAAAGGTGTAGCTGTAATCGTGTCTCGCGGTTCACTCTCTCGACTACTACTGTAGTTGATTTGGCGACGGTTTAAGAGATTGTTGTTTGGATGCTCCGAGCTATTCAAGAACATGTCTGAGCTCTGCTAAATGAGAATGCGGCCGAAGTACCACGATAAGACGCTATTATTGTACGATTTGACAGCTGACGTGTGGAATTCTGCAGATTGATTGACGAAGCTCTTCGAGCAGATCGTCGCAAAGAAGAAGGTGAACAAGGGGTGACAGCAGAGCACGACAATTCCGATCTGGAAGAAAAAGGGCAGCAGACAGGTTTGTAACATCATACGACATTCTGTTAATCAGTGTGACGGTATAAAGCTGAAGCAACATTGACGCCATACTGCCGCTCGCCTTCTGCTGGAGAAACACCGTGAGAAGCGAAAGCCCGTGCATGTAGCCTTCTTAGACCTGGAGAAGGCATTCGATCGTGTGCCGCGTGATGTTATATGGTACGCTTTGAGGCACGGCGTACCCGAAGAGCTAACTGAGTGACAGTGCGCATCCTTACTCATGGCTCAGGGAGCCAAGTTCGCTTACCAGCGGGTGTCTCAATGGAGTTCCCCGTAGGGTACATCAAGGCTCTGCGCTCTCCCACTTCTTTTCGTTGTTGTCATGGATGCCATCTCACGGGATCTCCAGAGAGAGGTGCCCTGGATTCTGCTTTACGCTGATGATGTGATGCTTGCACGAGAAGCTGAGCACACTAGCGGCAACAAATGCAGGTTTGGGTTCAGATTAAGATGAAGTGCTTGACAACCGACCTAAGCTGTACGGGCTTCCTTGAAATCTATGGCATACTCACGCGCACAAAAACGTCTATCTAGGACCAGCGATTACGTCCGACGGAGGTCTCAGGTTGGAATGAACTCAAGTGTTAGTGCAGCGTGCGAAATGGCGATAAATGTCTGGGATTCTTCAAGAATGTCACGAACAAGAGTTTCATAGGATCCTCTCATTAGGAAGGTCATCCAACAAACTTACCACCTTTAAAGCCACTTTGGAAAAGTATCTCGCATCCTGATGTTGATCCGCTGTTTAGCTCTAATTTGATCCTCACACTCTGTTGCGTTCACTTTATGTTGTTTTCCTTTTATCCGTTTGTGTTCCTACTAATTGTATCAGTTTCACTAGTTGTTTTATTCTGTATGCCGCACGGGTTTCCGTGTAATAAACAATTACAATTACAATTACAACAAGAAGATACACTCTAGTTCTCTGCGGACGGTTGGGCGTGTCAGCCAGTATGAGTGTGTCACCCTATCAGAGCCGTTCTCTGCCTTCTTGTTGAAGAGCGCATGCGACAAAAAGTGGTAGAAAACGAGTAATACGAAGCATATGATACAGTATTGTCACTTGCCCGCTTCAACAACTGGTGTAGAACGAGTTTGGCACCGCGCCAAACGCAGCCGCACTGACACGCCCAACCGTCCGCAGCGAACTACACTATATCAGGCGCATTAAGTCGAAGATGTATAGAAAGGTCGGTCGGCGCAATGTAATACGCAGGAAGTTCGGTGTAGCTCCTATAGCAAAGAAAATGCGAGAAGCGCGCCTTTGATGGTACAGCTACGTACTTCGCGCAAAGGCGGACACCGCATGTAGGGTATGTGACAAGAGGATCGTAATTCGCCGCGCTGCTGGGCGTCGCGTGCGACGTCTCGTCTGCAAAGGACGATGGTTCCAGGTAGTAGATGGCGACAACATGCAATTAAGGACCGAAAACAGTAATGACTGTCTACGATGACGGGGTCTACATGAAGTCCGGTGCTCCATTCGACAGGTTAAAACGAGTTATGAAAACGCCGCGCCCATCGCCGCGCGTGGCGGTGCGGCGAATTACGATCCTCTTTACCGTCTCCCCCGCATGTAAGACCAGCTTCAGTTTGAGGTGGCCGAACACCTGCCCAAGCAACGTCTCAAACAGCGCTGTCGATACGCTGCATGTGGGCTTGAAAATAGATCGCTCCCGACCGATCCATTTGACCAGGAGAAGTGGCGTCATCATACCAGAGGAGCGGACCCTGCCACCGTGCGGTACAAACGATAAAGAATAAGAAGGAAAATGTTGCAAACAGTTGAGCCGCCTTTCTCTGGTAGGTAAATCACAATAACATAATTCTAAGGAGTAATGTGAACTGCTCAGTGAACCCTGAAGAAATAGCATTTGCTCCAGAGATTTTAGCTCCCACGTCACAATCAAAACTGCACCTGTGCTCGAGCTTAATCCCACTACCTATAGCTTGAACATACCTTTCAGAAGGACGCGTAGTCGGTTCGGCAATGTAACGACGACGATCCGGTCTCCGCATCGCCTCCTGGAGCTGTGACGAGCTAATCGCAAAGCTCTCAGTATAACAACAACCGCAAGAGATCGAATCCTCACCAAGCCAAGCAAAAACGAACGCTGCGTGTGGACCCACGCAAGAATATTGGGTTTTAATACCGTATCCACCTCCCTGCGAATCTGTTGGAACGGAGCGCGTTATCCGCCAGTCTCACTTTGAAGAGGGTGCGCATTCTTTTCTTTTGTTTTTCGTTTCGTTATGATAATTATTTTTATTCGTTTGCACAGAGCTAAGTGGAATGGGCATATACTCTAGTTCGCTGCGGACTGTTGGGCGTGTCAGGCAGTAGAGTGTTCACACCGTCGAAGCCGTTCTCTGCCTTCTTGTTGAAACGCGCATGCGACAAAAAGTGGTAGAAAACGAGTAATACGAAGGATATGATACAGTATGTCATTGCCCGCTTCAACAACTGGTGTAGAACGAGTTTGGCACCGCGCCAAACGCAGCCGCACTGACACGCCCAACCGTCCGCAGCGAACTCACTATATTTGTGCGGTTCTCGTTCACAGTTGTAACGTTAATTTCAGCCAGTATGCAATAATTGGTCCTGAAGAAGCTCCTCGTATGAGGACATGGATTTTCAAAGTGGTTCGACGCTGATTCGATCGCGAATAGAGGAGGTGCTCTCGCGACATGCTCATGATGATCAGGGCACACCAGGAGCTCTTAATAAAAGTTCTACCCGTAGACCCTGTCATCCAAAACGGACCCCAGTGAGTCTTTTCGCCTACGGTCAATGCTAAGCCATTTCCGGCACACCGTGATTATGAAAAACCCTTGGTCAGTTCAGTTCATTTGATGCACTGTTTATGCCTGCAGTAGTTTTCGCTGTAGACGCTGGAGCGTGACAAGGGGCTAGGTTTGGCGCCAGCCCCCCATCACTTGTGGAAGCACCCAGTCGACAATAACTAGTGGAAAAGGAGAAGGCGCCGCGCCAAGCCCGCCTCTTCGCTGAGGCTGCGTTCATAAATTGTGGCACGTCCACTACAACCACCATCACCTACCAACGGTGCGACATTGGTTCCAAGATATGATGTAGACTATGGGACAGGGACACCATTGGTAGGTGGCAGGACGTGTTAGGAACTGGTAAGATCTGATGGGGGGGGGGGAACTAGCGCTCAGGGTCGCGTGATTCGCAGTTCCCGTCACAGTAACGGTAGGAAGATCGGTGAAGCAGGTAACATAAGAGATGTGATGGGGATATTAGTGATCGGTGACAGAGGGGTCAACTGATAGTGGCTGATAAACGGCACTGCTGCCGTCATTCTCCATGGTTGTGCACTGCAGTTTGCTGTGGAAGGTTGGGCGTGCCAGGCAGAGTGTGTCATCCCCAAGCCGTTCTCTGCCTTCTTGTTGAAGCGCGCATGCGACAAAAAGTGGTAGAAAACGAGTAATACGAACGATATGATACAGTCATATCACTTGCTCGCTTCAACAACTGGAAGGGCACATCATTGGTTGGGGATTTCAGTCGAGGGTGACAGCCTATTATATCAAGGGAATAAGGGGTTATCTTAACTCACTCCTTGCCACTCTACTGTTAGGTATAGTGTAGTTCGCTGCGGACGGTTGGGCGTGTCAGGCGGGATGAGTTTGGCGCGGTGCCAAACCCGTTCTCCACCAGTTGTTAAAGCGAGCAAATGATATGACTGTATCATATCGTTCGTACTCGTTTTCTACCACTTTTTGTCGCATGCGCGCTTCAGCAAGAAGGCAGAAGATGGCTTCGATGGGCTGACACACTCTGCAGCGAACTGGAGTGTATGAGGTGCAGCAAGCTTATTGTAATCAGAACTTATTCCTTTACTGCATGTCAAGCGGGGAAGCATATAATGTGCGTGAAATGGGAAAAATTAAGAATTTGCAGTCAGAAAAAGTTAGTTACACACGCTTTCTGTTGTGTTTGAACAAAAATGGTGTACGGTTTTTGATAGCTGCCACTCTTTTCCTCTTATTCTTTTTTGTTTTTCATAATTTCACATAAATAGAAATCAGCATCACTGCAGTAAACTGTTTCGCATTGCTTTATCACCTCAGTGCACCCGCCAAACTGGTCTATAAGATGAACTGTTTCTTTGTTAATTTGCGTGCTGAAAATCATTTTCAGATGCGGATTGGTTGCACTTTCAATGGCGGCCCAGCTCCTCAGCTTGGAAAGAAAGGATGTTTCGCAAATATTCGATATCGCTAAGAAGCTTGGATTCACTAATCAGGGAGAGATGTTTTCAGGTTAGCAAGCTTACAAAAGAGCTGACATGGGTCTTGGAATTGGATTATAATGCCAGTGACTGCCACTTTTCTGACGATTTCTTTCTTCTCAACCAGAGTCTTGTTTTTTTTAAGCAGAATGGTTGCGTCAATTGGCTTGCTCATTGTGGCCGATACACTCCATGGTCACCTCTGTCCCTGATGCTTCCACGATGATCAAATGGATAGATGGTGGTGCTGCCCTACTGATTGCCTATGATTGTGCGAAGAACTACGAACCAGCTATGCGAAATGGACACGGAGCTCACTGGGCTTTGCTGGTTGGTAATTTTGTGATTGCCCTACTCTAGGGCACATGAAGTTCAGTAACTTAGTTTTTGCTGATAGCGCTGAGCTTCACGTGGAAATCATATCAGTAGCGGTGCCACGATCCCTAAGCTTCTCAGTTTTGAAGAACTAGCGTGTTCTAGGCTTGCTTGCCCTCCCTCTAAATTCAGGCCGGATTTCGATGGAAAATTTTCGTAGAGGGCGTAGTCGGCTTGAAGTCCCACAGTGTTTATTGTTTATTGTTTATTGTTTATTGTATGGCGGTCAGTCAACGTAACAGGACAGCG